ATTGTAGTCCACTCCCTCTCTTTGGTTGAAACCTCTCGCAACGACCCTGGCTTTATACTTGACCCCTTCTGCTGGTGATATTCCTTCCTTCCTTTTGAAAACCCATTTGCAAGTAATAACCTTTCTCCCTGGAGGCTGTATGACAAGATCCCATGTTTGATTTTTATGCAAGGACTCCATCTCATCTCCCATAGCAGTTAACCATTTTTCAGAATCAGAACTTAAAACAGCTTCTCTGTAGGTAGATGGTTCAGAAGTATCTACCTCTTCAGCAACCTGCAGTGCATAACCCACCATATCCTCAAAACCATACCTCATAGGTGGCCGAACTCCAACCCTTCTTGGTCGATCTTGAGCTATACTGCGATGGGTATCTGATGGCATAGATTCTGGGGAATCAATTTCTGTCTCTGACTCTTGATTCTCCCCTTCAAGTTCTTTCGTATCACCTTCGTTCTGAACGACTTGAAGCTCCACCTGTTTATCAAGACTCTCAATTTCTGACGTAATTGTAGGCCTCACGATGGTTCTAAGCAGAGAACTTTCATCAAAGACAACGTTTCTGCTTAGAATAACCCTCTTTTCTGCTGGAGACCAGATTCTAAAACCTTTCACTCCATCTCCGTAGCCCACAAATACTCCCTTTTTGGCTCGTGGTTCTAGCTTACCTTCACTGACATGATAGTAAGCTGTACAACCAAAAGCTTTCAGATTTGAATAATCCTTTTAACTTATTAATTACTAAGCCTATTATAAAAAACAAAATAAGGAAAACAAATGCTGTTATTTATCCTAACAACCCACGTTTCTATGAATAGAGAAAAATTCTTATTTGTTTGATTTATTTTCTAAAAAAAACAAAATACATGCAAGAAAACCGGCCCGTATATACTTAATAATGCATAAACATGAAAACATACACATAATTTTTTCTATATTTTTTCCAAAGCACCAAGTTTTTAATAGTTGAGTGTGTGATACATGCGGTGCATAAACATTTATATATTTTTCTCAGAAAACTGCTCTTGGGTATCCCATATTTTGACAAACTAATTTCCGACCGGGTACTTCACATTTTTAAAATATACTTCGAGTTACCTTCTATTTTGAAAAACTAACTATCAGGTACCTCATATTTTTAAAATATACTCTGAGGTATCCTCTAATTTGAGAAACTAACTATTGGGTACCTCACATTTTTAAAATATACTCTAGGATACCTCCAAATATACATTAATTTTACGTCATTAATTTTAAGAAATAGGGGTTTGAAATTTTAAAAGTAACCTTGGGTATTATAATTTAAGGATACAATCTATCCAGTTTAATCGAAGCTTTCAAATGAAATGGAATGTCTCTCACGGGTAAGTTAATATACATTTGGAGGTACCCCGGAGTATTTTTTTAAAAATGTGAGTTACCCGATAGTTAATTTCTAAAAATAGAGGATATCCCAGAGTATATTTTAAAAATATGAGATACCCAGCAGTTAATTTCTCAAAATAGAGGGTACCTAGGTGCAGTTTTCTGTATTTTTCCTTGGCAATTACCAAAGGTTTGAATATTCTCTATTACTCCAGAATATTTTTTTTCTCATGAAACCAAAGATTTATTATAAATGCTAAAAAAATATACTATTACGCAAAAAAAAAAAATACTCCGTATGAATTAAGTATTTCAATTTCTAGTCCACTTTCTACTCAGGCCGAAGTCTAGAAAATCGCAAATAAAACTTTCCATATCTACAAATCATCATATCATCATATACATATACATACATACAGTCATACATACATACATACATATATATATATATATATCTTTTATCCTTTATATATAATATTTGAGAGTTGAACTCTCAGAATTGTGACATTTGGCATGATGACTGAGATATTTTTGACACCTAACCAGCCATGTCATTGATGACCCGGTCCAATTGATAACTAGATATGAGCTTCACCCACACAATCAGCAGATCTGGAGATATCATCATGGGATCTAAAGTTATCATCGTTCGAAATTTTAGGAAAATTTATAGCTGCATCTCGAGACTTCATCACCCACTGAATCCTCTGCAAAATTTTAGGGAAATTCTACGATAGGGAGAAGATCGCAAATACGGTAAGTTTCCAAAGTTCATGTGCAATTTTGATTCAAATTTGGCATTTGGATTTTTTCAATTTTAATCCAGTTTTTAGAGATTCTTTTATTCCATTTTGGCATGTCGATTTCCCCAATTTTATTCAATTTCTATAGATTCTCTATTACCGCAGTTTTTTTGGTAATTGTAGAAGAGAGAATATGTAATCACGAG